CGCATCAGTAGTCGGCAAACAAGCGAGCTAGGAAAAAAGACACACGAGCATAATGAGGGTGAAAACAACTATATTATTCGGGAAGCGCATTACATCAGTGATCAACACCCGAACAAACAACAAAAAGAAGGAAAAATACATTTATTCCTCAAGAGCGTCAGGGCTGTCGTCAAACGGGACTTTGTCCGGCATATTGACGCCCATGTCCTCGGGGAAGGAGTCAAAAGGATCCTCTGCGACCACTAGGCCAGGGTGGCGCGCCTTGAAGCGAGCAAGGGCGATCCGGTACCCGTATTCGTACGAGACCCGCCCAGTCCGAACAAGGCCAAGCTGAAAGCCCGAGGAATCTTTGTAGTCCTCGATCAGTTTCTTGTCCTTCTCCAGCCTTTGACGGATCTCGACGGCAAGGGCCTCGGCTGTCTCCTGCGCCTCAGCGCGCGCCTCCTCCAAATGTCGGATCAGCTCAACCGACTCCCCCCTTGCCGAACGAGCTTCGGCCACAGACGCCTTCAGATGCATCTGAAGCTCCTTATTCCGCTCCTCGGACACCTCGAGCTCGAATCAGAGGCACATCGCCTCCGCATCCAGATCCGAGGCGCGCTGCTCGACTGTTGCAACCGCCTCAGGAGCCGCCCTCGGCGCAGACCTCCTCCACCTGCTTCCGGAGATCAGCGTTGCGGTCACTCAGGATGTCGATGACCCGCTCCGCGTCGCGGACGCGGTCCATCAGCGCCGCAGCATAGTGAGTGCCCTACAGACAAACGAGTTAAGACAAGGACTACCCGAACACACGCAATCGAACCAGCGGAATGACACTTACCCACAGCAGCGAATTGGTAGACCTGCCAAGGAGGACCTCGGAGGGCAGATATACAGATCCCGAGCTATGTCGGGATGGAGCCCTCCGCGGACAAACCCGATCGCGGAATCCCCGTTGGCCCACACTCGGCTACTTCGGGTAAGGCCTTCCCAGCGGGTCGGAGGACTCGCCCTGCGGAAGGTCACCCATCACCCGCGCCTGGTAGGGTTCGTCCTCCCCCCTGGCCTGAAGGCGGCAGAGTTCGCGGATGGATGGCTCTCGAGGAGCCTTCCCCGCCGCCTCCCTACTGGAGCCGGCTTCACCTCGCCCGAGGCTCTTCCCGGCGTGGCCGATCGGTGCGGCAACGGCCCCCGTTGGTTGAGCCGCAGCCTCCCCAGAGGCCTTTGCTGAGGAAGTCTTCGCCTTCTTCCGAGGACGACCGACCTCAACATCCACCGGGGCCTCTCTCGAGCCAGCCCTCGCCTCGGCCGGCGAACGAGCGGATGGGGCCGACGGGGTCTTACCCCCACGCAGGGCTCGGAGAACCACCATCTCTGCATAAAAGCACTAACATTGGTCAGCTGACTAGATAATCCCTAAAAGAAACCCTAAAACTACCCCTGAGGGCATACCTCGAGGCATCGAGCTAAGACCCGCCTCGACCAACCACTACTCGGACATACTTCGGATGGCTCTTGAGGCTGGAAGGATTTCTTTAAGCCTCCGGAGCCCTCGGCGCTCCTCATCATCCAAACCCGGGGCGGTGTTGTCTATCACGTGCGCCGCCCATCGAAGCCCGAACCCTCAGTCCTCCGAGCGGTTGACGAAAAAGAAGCGCCCCTTCCATCTCTTATTACTGGAAGGAGCCCCGCTCACTCGGAAGCCCGCTCGGGCGGACAGATAGTAGCCCCCCGACCCCTTGGAAAGTCGAAAGCAAGAAAGGAAGAGGGATCGGGTCGGGGTGATGTTGGCATAGTGGCACTCCCCTAGGAACGCCACCAGATAGCGCCAAGAGTTGGGCGCCATCTGAGACGGGGAGATACGCCACCATGAGATACAAGAGGTTATGATGGGGTGCAAGGGGAGGCGTAACCCGGCCTCAAAAGCATCAAGGGTGAGGGCGAAACCCCTGGGAATCGGATCGTACGCCCGTTGGCCGGGCTCGGGAGCAAGAAGGACAAACTCCTCCGGGACGCCGTAGAGGTCCCGGAGCGACTGAGCGACGACTCGCTCACGGTGGAGTCGAGGTCGTGTGGCCACATCAGGGCCTCAAGGGCCCGGGCCACCTTTTCGTCGGAAGATGAGTTAGGATTCGACACAACCGCCGTTTGCTCGTCTTTAGCCAAAGAAGAGGATGAAGAGGAAGGGGAAGAAGACACCATCCTTACCGACCTTTAGAAAAAGAAGAAGAGCGATCGGCGCAAACGAAACGATGGAGTCTGAAGCGGCAGAATAGAAACGAGTGAGGAGACATTCGAGGGGCTAGCCGCACACTAGTTATAGACAAAATCTCACCAAAAACAATGACCCTTTCTCTTCTCAGGCATGTCGCATCGGTATGACACAATGTCATTCCGCCATAAATACAACTTGGCAGGGCAACCAACAGGCGCGTTACACGTGGCAAACAACAGGCTTGAGGCGTCGGTCTTCTCGAAAACTGGCGATTCATGAAAAGGTTCGTCCCCTGGACTTCCGAACAGACCAAAGGTTACCAGGCCACCCGCACCTCCTGCAACACAGCGTAATAGATCCAATCGAAGTAGCTCCTCGGCAGCAGCCGCCTGTGTCGTGTTCTTCGGCCACATGTCGCTCGAAACCACGCCTGCGTGGCCTGCTCGCCTGAGTCCAGCTCCTCGGCAGCAGCCGCCTGTGTCGTGTTCTTCGGCCACATGTCGCTCGAAACCACGCCTGCGTGGCTTGCTTGCCTGAGTCCAGCTCCTTGGCAGCAGCCGCTTGTGTCGTGCTCTTCGGCCTCATGTCACCCGAAACCACGCCTGCGCGGCCTGCTCGCCCGAGTCCAGCTCCTCGGCAGCAGCCGCCTGTGTCGTGCTCTTCGGCCACATGTCGCCCGAAACCACGCTTGCGCGGCCTGCTCGCCCGAGTCCAACTCCTCGGCAGCAGCCGCTTATGTCGTGCTCTTCGGCCTCATGTCGCCCGAAACCACGCCTGCGCGACCTGCTCGCCCGAGTCTAGGTCCTCGGCAGCAGCCGCCTGTGTCGTGTTCTTCGGCCACATGTCGCCCGAAACCACGCCTACGTGGCTTGCTCGCCCGAGTCCAGCTCCTCGGCAGCAGTCGCCTGTGTCGTGCTCTTCGGTCTCATGTCGCTCGAAACCACGCCTGCTCACCCGAGTCCAGCTCCTCGGTAGCAGCCGCCTGTGTCGTGCTCTTCGACCTCATGTCGCCCGAAACCACGCCTGCACGGCCTGCTCGCCCGAGTCCAACTCCTCGGCAGCAGCCGCCTGTGTCGTGCTCTTCGGCCACATGTCGCCCGAAACCACGCCTGCGCGGCCTGCTCGCTTGAGTCCAGCTCCTCGGTAGCAGCTGCCTGTGTCGTGCTCTTCGGCCTCATGTCGCCCGAAACCATGCCTGCGCGGCCTGCTCGCCCCAGTCCAGCTCCTCGGCAGCAGCCGCCTGTGTCGTGTTCTTCGGCCACATGTCGCCCGAAACCACGCCTGCGCGGCCTACTCGCCCGAGTCCATCTCCTCGGCAGCAACCGCCTGTGTCGTGCTCTTTGGCCTCATGTTGCCCGAAACCACGCCTGCGCGGCCTGCTCGCCCGAGTCCAGCTCCTCGGCAGCAGCCGCCTGTGTCGTGTTCTTCGGCCACATGTCGCCCGAAACCACGCCTGCGCGGCCTACTCGCCCGAGTCCAGCTCCTCGGTAGCAGCCGCCTATGTCGTGCTCTTCGGCCTCATGTCGCCCGAAAGCACGCCTGCGCGGCCTGCTCGCCCGAGTCCAGCTCCTCGGCAGCAACCGCCTATGTCGTGCTCTTCGACCTCATATCGCCCGAAACCACGCTTGCGCGGCCTGCTCGCCCGAGTCCAGCTCCTCAGGCCACCCGCCTGAGTCGTGCTCCTCGGCTGCACGTTGCTCGAGGCCATGCGTACACGGCCTGCCCGCCCGAGGGGGCTACCACCCCTACGGCCGAGCCCAATTTGACATACGAGTCATTCTTCGAGGTTCCTCGGCCACTCACTACCCAGCGCCGCAACGGCACATCCGACCTTCCTTGATTGCCAAGCGCCACGATCCCCATGCCTAGAGCGGCGAACCGACCTTCGCCTGACGGAGATAGTTCTTTAAAACTCAGACCCCCCTTTTCGGCAAATGACACATAGCTTCCTTTGGGGGGGGAGTATGATGAGAGTGATAATTACGATAAGACTTGCGTGACACCCGTTGACGCCCCACGTCTCTGTCGGGCTGACAGCGCGTGGCTGACACAGGTCGTAACGGCAACCGAGGCCCATTAACGACCGCTCAGGCTCGATTCCGCACGCCACGCCAACAACGATGTCAGACGTCATCAGAAGGTACGATCCTGCCCCATGCGAGCAGGCACGTCAGGTAACACCAAACTCCCCTATAAATACCCTTGCATTCTAAACGGAAAGGAGGGGAAAAAATAAAAACTTCCGCGACCACCGACTAACTTAATCATCGGAGGGGTCGGGTCGAGAATCCCGACCCGACCTGCGTGCAGGGACGAAGACGAGGTGCCTCTCTCCGGACGCGTTGGCAAGGAGCCCCTTCCTGAAGGAAACGGCGACCCATCATCCGGACCCGAACCGAGCCGCGTCGGCCCCAAGGCCACGACTAAAAAGTTGTTTACACTAACAATTATTATTATTATTATTATTATTATTATTATTATTATCAGTTTTTTCAACAAAATTGCTCCACAAATTGCCAACTTTTTTCCTTTTCCAAACAGAGAGAATAATTCTCCATATTGCATAATTTTTTGTTCAATTTAACAAAATTTACTAACCAATTAGCACATTGATTTCTACACATATAATGGTTTATGCTTAGCAAAAACAAAGAGAAAAATCTAACATAGCCAGAACATATTAAAGCAGATTAAATAGGGGCACACATGCTCTCAGCATCACAAATTACCAGCTTAAAGAAGGTTGGAATAGCAAGGGAATTCCATGAACAGTGAGTGAGAGGAAGTTCTTGAAAGAGGCACTCACATGTGGGTGTCCATAAACAGTAGGAGCAAGATAAACCATTGGATGACCATAGAATTCAATTTCTTCTATTGGCCCTACAATATTTGAGAATGACAATGTGGTGTTTGAAAGCACTCTATGAGAGAGAGCAGCTGCTGCCTGCATTTTGGAAATGCCATCACCATGAGAAACAAACCATTCATTTTTTTCTCTCCACAAAATACTAGTAATCTTTTCCAATCAACCTAACATAACATATATAACATATTAATGTCCACCACAACATATAACCTCCTATTTTTCCAACAATAAGTATATGTTAATTCTAATTTATATCTTTATCATGCACATTATATCTTTATATCAATTTTCTTTTCAATAAATCTTACTGCAACCGACACTGTATGTGTGATTAAACAGCAGATATCAAGCTCACACCTTAAAGCCACAGTATTTGAAGACGACAGCACCGCTGCGGTACGTGAAGAGTGCCTCCATGGAGTTCTTCTTCCTATCAGCCATCGACTTACCCTTGCGAACGTAGTCAAGCGGGTCTTTGTACAGCGCTACAGGAAATGGCAGAAGGAGATAGCCGAGCAGATTGCCCCACTTGTCTCCGCTCGTGTTCCCCTCCTCCATCGCCCCCGCCAGTGCCTACTTATACGTTCAACGCAGTTGTTAGAGCAGCTAGGGAGATCTCATTCCGTCCATTGCCTCCGAGAAATACTTACATGGATCGTCGGCGTCGGCCGCATGTTCACGAGCAGGGTCGATCGCATCCTGATATTTTCCGGCAACTGTTGTCCGCTCTCGCCTGAAGAATCGGCGTAAAGCTCTTCAAGAACTGAGCTGACAGTAGTAGAAGATGATGGAGCGTGTGCAGCGTGGAGATCTTACCATATTTTCTACTGAGATAACAAGACAAACTGGCGGATGTCACGCCGACCAGGACGTCGTTTATTGTCTGTGAAGATGTGTTGATGCGTCAGGAGGAATCGTTCCGGTGAATAAGAAAAGAAGGGGGGAAGGAGGAAGAAGACGAGCTTACGCAATGCATGGCGTTCTTGATGGCCTTGACGTCGTGCAGACTGATGGTGCGGTGCACGAACCGCTTGGGGTGGAACTCGGTGCTCTCTGCGCCCTTGAACGGGGTCGGGGTGTCCTTCAAGAAGATGGAAGTGGCGACGAAGTAGGCGACGTCGACGAGCGTGTTCCACACGAGCACCAGAGTGACCCAGAGCCGGCGGAGGAGAGCGAGGGGGCGGAGAGCCCGCGGAGGGGAGCGCGGCGGCCGGTGGGGTCCGGGGAGGGACGGGAGGGCGTCGGGGTCGGACGTCTTGCGGAAGCAGGCGAGGAGGAGGGACATGAGGGAGGCGCCGTCGCCGAGGGAGTGGTGAACGCGGAAGACGGCGACGGCGGCGGCCTCGGAGGTGGGGAAGTTGAGGATGTGGAACTCCCACATGGGGCGGGAGGCGTCCATGGTGGACCGGCCAAGGGAGGCCACGTAGTCCTCCAGGAGGCGGTCCGCGGCGGAGGTGTCGCCGCCATTGGGGTGCAGGTCCGGGATCACCAGGTGCTTCTCTACCTCCACGTCGGTCCGCACCCACCTCGCCTTCTTCCCCTCCGTCTCGTCCAAAACCTATCACGTTGAGAGCTCTCAGTTGCTTCATGGAACACTAAGCTGGCGTCCAAAACCAGTTTCGTAGAACCTGAATGCTGCAGAAGCGGGGGTGACGGGCGAGCGTCGCCCGGATGCCGGCCTTGAGCACGTCGATGTCGATCTCCTTACCGCTCCCCATGATAGCGATGATGTGGCAATTGAAATGGGGCGCGTGGAAGAGCCTCGCCGCCGGGCTCATTGGCTCCTCCTCCTCCATCATCTCACCAATATTCTTCTCCCTACCTTCTCTTCTTCTTCCTCCACTCTCCTCCTCCTCCTCCTCCTCCTCCTCTATCCCACCTCTTCCGGTCCTTATCCCAGCCGGTCTCCTCCTCAACTCCATACCCCCCGCCGAATCCATGCGTTCAGCCATCCTTCAAAACACCTATCAACAATCTCTACACGAGGAAGACGAGTTAATAAGGGCAGTTGAGATTGCAAAACAAGAAGCCAGCTTTGTAGTTGGCTTTTCCGACGTCTGAACTCATGCCATTTACTGAGCACATTAACTCGGGGAAGACGCGTGCAGTGTAGTAGTTGTTGGTACGTGGATGTCGTCGACCGATGGGGTCGTCTTTAGCCTGATTCGGTCCCGAACGCGCTAGATCGACCAGAAGATCTCCGAGGGGTCACGTGAGAAGGTAGGGACGGGAGGAGGATCTTCCCGGTGTGGTCTCGAGGTGCTTCTCGTTCACCTGAAGCAGGTTTGACGTCATTCCGAGGTGCGCTTTAACTTTGTCGAGTCCTTCTAAAATGATTGGGGATGTTTCCGACCCAGCCCCTCTAAAATTTAAGTTACTAATATGGTGATTTCGATAGCTCATCTACCCCTCCAAGCTTTAGGGTTGGCTTGAGCGATCGGTGAGGGATGATCAGTTGCTCGTTTAGGAGTTTCTCATGTTGTCCGGGACTCATTTACATCGATGGTAAATGGACATATTTTCTTGAGGGGGAAGGGCGACGGTAGATATGTCATTTGTCAGGGCTGGAATCTCAGGGGATGACGCATGGTGTTAGGCATCCGGAGAGGAGAATCAGATCATGTCGTCTAGGATTAATGCTTCCTGTGTGAGTTCTCCCGAAATCATGGGTGACGAAAGTGACGGGTCGACGGCGACCGGTGATCCAAACAAGGGGAAACCCGAAGAATGAGCCTCGTTGTCGACTCGTGCGACTTTCCTGAGGATCGAGGCGGACGGGGCCGGAGGGTCTGCTCCAACCGGCCGCCATGGGAGAGAGAGGGGGGCACGGGCTCCCCCGCACATGTTTGACTCTCAGGTGACGGTGCACGACTGAGCCGGTAGTGCAATGCTTGCATCATGATTCAGTAGTCAACCATAAGCGACACACGACGCAGCAATGCGTTCGACTTCCGATATCGTCGCCTTCGTCCTCGCCGCAGTGTAAGAAGCTACTGATTCGTATTGAAGCACCCCTTCACTGCAATGACTTCGACGTGATCATCTATGGAGCGAGGCGAGATCGTGTGGGGACGACGTCTCCTCGAAGCAGATGACGACGTCTCCTGCCCATCGTTAGCAGTCTGAGCTAATCTTCTTGATCGGTAAGAACAACGGCAGCCGCCTTGGGACGTCATGCATGAAGTATTTGGGTTTGGATTTATATCCGAAATCCTTCAATGCGTCCGATCCGTCTCTTCTATGTTCTACCCTCCGGACTCGAATTTTAAAGCTCGCGCTGGCATGTCTGGTACTTGAACCACGACGAGGGGAGCCGGTTCGGTTACGAACCACTGATTGTTACGGCTTGCCGGTAACCTTGCCCGCAACTCGAACGTTGTCGCTCTCACCTTCTCAGCACCTCTCGTTCCTCATCCTCATGCCCATCATCCGCTCGCTAGCGTGCTCCTGAGAGAGGCGACGACCGATGGCTCTCAGCGTCCTCTCTCCTCCTGCCGCCGCCTCCTCCCTCTCCTGCCGCACGCCTCACGGCCTTAGAGCCGCTCCCTCCGGTTTCCATCACCTCCTCCTCCTCGGCAGATGGACTGCTTCTCCCCTCTCCGCTCACACCCTCTTCTCCTGCTCCTCCAACATAAACTCCTCCAAAGCCACAAGAGCTTCTGGCGATGACAGAGGCGCAGTGGAGTCGAACCCGAGGTTGCTGGACGAGGAGCTGCTGAGGCGGGTCTCGGGTGCCAAGGACGCCGATGAAGCTCTAGGGATGATCGAGGAGGCCCGTGGAAGTGGCGATCCCGGCGTCATCGAGACCGAGGACTGTCATTCGATCATCGAGTCTGCTTTTGACAGGGGCGACGCCGATTTGGCCCTGTCCGTGTTCTATGCCATGCGTGCTGGCGTCGATCGAGGTAGTTCCTCCTTTACTTGAATGAACCCGAGTGTTTCTGTTAAGCAAGTTTGGGTACTATCTTGGAATGGCTAGGTATGGCGGAGAAGGATTCATCTGCTGGGAGGTGGACTTGGGCTCGACCAGATGTGCGTACCTACGCTCTGATGGTTCAGAGACTGGCAGCATCCCTACGAGTTTCCGATGCGTTAACCATGATTTCATATGTTTCACGGATGGGTGTTTCTTCTGGCGAGGAGGTAATGCTCTACTTTCGATGTATATATATACATACATATATATATATATATATATATATATATATATATATA